GAAAGTTCAGGAGATGACCAAAGTCAGCAGGGTTCATCCAGTGGGAACCATAAATGTCTGTACAAATTCCATCCAATCCATCCAATAGATGGAGGAAAAGTGGTGGAACAACCAATCAACCAACATGGCTAAGAAAACATCTTAAAATATGCTTGAAAATTTCTCATAAGTCTTCTAATCACCTTTTGTTTCTAATCACCTTGATCTCAAGTGAAATAGGCACGTTAAATGAAAATCTTGGGAAAATGATATATGTGACCTTTACAATTCCCTTGATTTATGAGGCAGCATTAACAAAAGAACACATCCTGTTAAAGCAGACGAATGGAATGTGATGAGTAAGCGTGACATTGGAGTAGCGCACTCATGTTTGGGGCATGGATGTGGTTTCACAGCGTATACATCTCCTCCTTCCAAATATGAAAAACATTACCACATTAATGACAGCCTAGGCTTGGGGATGGCGCTTCCTCAAACCCCAAAATCCTGTATTCCCTGGTAACCATGGTAGAAAATGTCCACGCATTCATTTTGGGTCAAGTTATTTCTTTCAGTGTCATTACCATACTTGCAGTGATGATGCACTGAGGCTAGCTTTCGACCCTAATGAGCCCTGGAACATGATTGTTTGAACAGCTTCTGGAGAAATTCAGGAGGTCCCAAGGCAGGCGTCCAAGTCAAAGGCAACAATGGTCCCTTTTCATCAAGGTAGCTGTATCCTGACCTGAACTTGTGCTGCAGTGTGTCTTCTTGCCAAGGGATAGCAATAACTGAAGTAATAATCATGATATTAATAGCTATGAATGTATGCTGGAGCCACTGTGGTGAAAATGACTTCCAGAGACTGTGAGACTTTAAAAGTTGGCTTCAAGAGCAATAACACTGAAGCTCACTTCCATATGAGTCGTTCTTTGATGCGCAGTGATGGACGGTTTGAAGAACATTTCCTCCTGTCCTCAATTACAGCTGTAAACTGTCAAATCATAGTTGGTATGATTCTGTGTATGTGTCCTAAATATATCACACATAACATGTACAACTGTGCTAAAAGAAATTCCCAAATAAAGATGGCAGGCCACACGACAGCAAGAAATATACTTAAGACTGGAGGTTCATTCTCAACCTTGGAAACTACATGAACAAACAGTCTCACCACAAGATCCACTTCTGTTCTGGAGCTAGAACACTTCCTTAATACATCCTTATTGCTGAAGTTAAAACAGCATATTATAAAAAGATGGAGCAATGGTGAAACTTCATCTGATCTTCTAATTCTAATGAACAATTATCTTTCAAAGTACATTTCAGGGTTTTTAGCTGATAGAGCCCAAACTAATGCATTCTTTCAACATTTGAGCTGAATTATTTTAATGTTTTTGTTGTGTCTAAAGACCTTTTCAGGCTGGGCTCATAAAACTCAGAAAGAAAGAAACCATTACAATTTAGGAAAAAGAAATGAACCCTCTCTTCCAACTCAAATTCCAACTCTCTTCCTTATCTGTTGTTGTTGCTCTGCCCTAGTTAATTAGATGGTGACTGTTGGTGAGTCTTTGTATCTGAGGGGGGATGTTCAGCCACATGCTTAATACGATGCAGTATCCACCACACCTTCGATTTCCACTGAAATCAAGTATGTCATATTATGTCATGCTTATCTTAGCCAGTTATAAGTAATGTTCTGTCTACATGCCTCTCCGACTAAATATTACCAAGTGTTTTCTTGGGAATTTGAAACACTTTCAAAACTGGATCATGGGCGTGACCAAGACATCCTCAAGCTGAAGATCTGTCTTTACTTATTTGTTAGACTTTGGCCCAAAAGTCCATGCAGGAGGCTGACCATGGTCTGCTTTAGCTATAAAGTGGTGTCGAGTGTCTTTCCTTTGGGGCATCACTGAACTGGAAGTTGCTCCTTTGCTTCCCTGTGATTTTCCCTTGGACTCCTCAGTTGTTAAAATCCGAGTTGACCTACTGTATTTACAGCAACTTTTCCAGGAGAATGTTCATCTTAATTCAGTGCTTTATTAGTTAAACTTAGGAGAAATTAAAATGAATAAATAAATCAATTTAAATATTTTAAACCACTATGTAAAAAACACAATTGGCAATTCCAAAATGCAGAAATTAACCATTAACTTTAAGTTAATAGTTAATACATGATGTTACATGTACAACAGTTAAGGATAGGGTCAGTTATATTTCCCATATTCAGCCTGGAAGAATCTCAGTGTTTCCTCTACATTCATTTAGTAGTGGCGGCCCGCCACTGCTAAATCATAGCCGCCACGCCTTCAAACTTCTTTTTTCTTTTTATTTTTTTTTTATTGTCGCAAATGCACCACCGCCACATCTCTCCACCTTCACAGCACAGCCTGTGTGATGATGAGCGCAACAGCGGGGGGAGGGGAGAAGAGGGGAGGGAGGGAGGGAGTGGGGTGGTTGGGGGATCCTTTTGGAGTTAATTACTCGCGAGAGCGCGGCCTTGAAAGTGACATAACGTCAGGTACCAGGTCAGAGTCAGAGAAGTGTAGTCGTGAGGAATAAGGCAGCGGAGAAAAGGTAGACTTATTAGCCAACTCAGTGACGCTAACTTGGGTAAACTAATTGATAGCATTAAGCTAATATCTACACGTCATTATGTATTAACTGCTGACTGCATTTTCAGATGAGCTTGTTCAGATACTTCTCTAAGAAGAGAAAGACAACAGATGAAGAAGACGCTAGTCAGGTAGCCTATCATAAGCCTTTTACTGACTCGTGAATGATGATGGTTAGGTAAAAAATAATATTTTAATGTTCACACTTGTAATCAAATGTGATGTGAGTGTAAACTATATAACGCTGAAAATCAAGTGCTCTGAGCCTGGGTGCAAACTTTGCCACTGACTCTACCCCAGTACTGTAGGTACTGTATGTAATGCATATGAAAATTCACTCTGGAGCGATGAAGCTGAGGACAGTCTCTGTTGAGATATGTTAAAACCTGAGGAAAATGAACATTGAGCCCCATGACAGTGCATCTTGATATGTACAAATGGTGAGCTATTCAATTTAAAGACATCACGTGATAAACAGACACACATCACAAGATATAGCACCCTACAGGACAAAGGATTGAACCTAAGGAGATTGTCAGTGATGAATACAGCACTTTTAATCCCCTTTTTGTGTTTCCCGTAAAGAACGCAAAAAGTTCTTATCTCTGAAATACATTTGAATTATAGCTCCCTTTAAGGCCTCCATCAGCTAAAAGTGCCAGAGGACTTTATATTCTCCATCACACACAAAGTCATCCAAAACCTTTTAGTGACATTTATAAGACCACACTGACCCCGCGCAGGAAACTCACTGTTAAGTCAAGGGCAGGACTGACTCCTAACAAACACTACTTCATGCGAAAAAAATGTCCAGCACTCAACACTGCTCTTTGAGGAACTTTAAATCCCATGGTCGTCTACGATAACACAATTCATCTGATTTTATTTTATTAAACGGACAACCCTCATGAAAACAAGTGGTGATTTCTGCTAGAGATCCCAATGAGAACATAACTGTAGCAGTGATTAGTGGGAGAGTTTAATCTTGATGGCACACATGAATAACTAATACCCCTCCTTCCACAACTACTGAAAAGGTATCTTTGAGCAAGTCAGTAAATCTATTGGATCAATTGCCAAGACATGTGGTTCACACATTCATGTCACTTCAGGATACATTGTACTGTACAATAATTGACTATTCATCAGGGTTGACCCTCAGGTCAAAAATGCCCTACCGATAACCACTTTAGTGTGTGTATGTAAGCAGCAACAGTATGTTATGTACTGTATTTTGAGGGCCTGTATTTTTGGTGTATATATAGTACATGTAGTATGGACAGTTTGAGCATGTGAAGCGAAGCGACATGTTTACATGGATTTTCTGAGGCTGAGTGAATGGGTTCCTTCCCCCTTCTGAAAAGAAAGATCTGATCTGTTAACTAACACACAAATCACAGGCGCCATAAATCACAGCTTTTAAACAAACTGATTTCTTACATAAATTACATTTAGTGTTTGATGCTTTAAAAGCTTTAAAAACCCCGAAACAAAGTGATCAGACACTTGTGAACGACAACGTCCTTTACTGTAAAGAATATTAACACTTTATAATGCAATAAGGTATATACAGTATAATAAAGTATATATGGTTGCTCTACCCTTTAATGCTTCTTCGACATTATGTCTGCTGGAGACATGTTTCTGGGTTGTCCGTCTGTCAGTCCTATCCTCCCTTGTTGTTGCTCCCTTGTTCCCCACAGTGTTGTTGTTTTCCACTGTACCTACATTCAAGTAACAGTTGGAATCTGTAACTATTTTATTTGCACCTTATCCATGCAGTGAAAATACGTCGTAAACTGGCTGTCTGTATAATGTGTTGCCTAATAATCATACACCAATCAGCCACAACGTCAAAAAGGATAGCATCTTTAATGTTGTAGCTGTTCAGTTTCAGTCTTGTTAATTTACCCTTGACCCTGAGGTTTTCACCTAAACCAGCACACACACTGACACACTAACAGATATGTACTATGCAATATATGTGGCATGATATGTGTGCCTTCACATATTCTGCTAATATAGCATAAGATATAGGAAGGGAGATGACTCACAGGAGATGACTGGTTGGCTACTAGGTGTGACTGTGTGGAACTGTTTATGAATGTGAAGTCTGGTGCTGCTGGTCATGATTTAACATGCTTAGTTAACCTCCTTAGATAAATAAAGTTTTGAACTCTTCTCTTCTCCAGCCCATGTGTTTCGTCATATTTCCTCAGAGAATTAGATACCAGAAAAAGTCTGGTTACTGTTAAATAGAACAGAGGTTCTTACTCTTGCTCTACCATCACTATTTAACTGTTTACGCACAATAAATAACAACTGAGAGCTTGTGTAAAACACACTTTCATAGTGACGTATGTTTTTAGTGATACTAACTGTTGTATTTTGGGTTTTTTGCAGGTTATTGGTGGGCGCTCCGTATGAAATGAATGGCCCTTACCAGACAGGGGATATTTATAAATGTTCACTGAGCAAACGAACCAATGGCGGTTGCTCCAAGCTCAATTTAGGTATAGTATCACAAACACCATTCATTATTTTTTTACCTGAGAATCACACATACAGTAACAGTGGCAGTTATGAATGTGTATCTGGAAAAATGTGTATGCATATACTGTAAAGGTTTAAATGTCGGCATGCTTTTCTGCATGTGTTTCAGTAAGCATGGTGGCATGTGTGAGACAGAGGTGTGGGGACCATACCAACCATTCCACATTTTACTATTTTTTTAAATGGTTCATGTACCTTTCCACACGTGTGTTATACCGCACATCTCACCGCATGCTACTTCATATGGGTCGCACATGTGTCATGCTGGTAAGGTGGGCACATGAAGGTTTGTCAAGTAAACGTTTCGATCTGCGGATGTAGACACTGGTTTGGCTGCCCAGACAGCAATAACAAACCAACGTCCCAGATGGTGGAACTTCTGTTTGGTCTCTGAAGGATAGTGCATGTATTTATGTATATATGAGTCTGTCTGTCCAAGATCATGTCACTGAGGATCTTTTTCCCTCAAGGAAGGATATCTCTGACCAACGTATCAGAGCGCAAAGACAAGATGAGGCTGGGAATGACGCTCACTTCTAACCCTAAAGACAACAGCTTTGTGGTGAGAGTGGGTTTAAAACTTCTTCTTGAGATATAACACAGTAATGGCCCGTTGCTGAAGAACCTTAAGAGGAAGTAAGAACACATTTGATAACTGTGCAAGTGGAAAAAAGGACAATCCCACAAGATTGTCTTTTGATTACACGGTTGTCAAACTGCAGCTCTCCCTGCAGAAGTTCTCTGAGAGCAAGAACCTAACTCTTTGGTAATATGCTGATGTCGGTAATGCTGCTTGTATGAATGCATTCTTTTATGTTTCAGGCCTGTGGGCCACTATGGTCCTACGAGTGTGGCAGCTCTTACTACAGCACTGGCATATGCTCCAGAGTCAACGCGAGTTTCAAGTTCTCCAGAACGATTGCGCCAGCCTTCCAGAGTAAGTATCTTTTCAGTTTGATGAAGAGTCTTCGACAGTTCTCAGTCACAGCAGGGGATTATTTACTCGTTTATGAACATCTGTTTTCTCCATGTATGCTCTCAGTATTAAGTCTCATCTTTAAATGTTTTTCAGGATGTGAGACCTACATGGACATAGTGATTGTTTTGGATGGCTCAAACTCAATCTACCCCTGGTATGAAGTGCAGGCTTTTCTCATCAACATTCTTCAGAAGTTCTATATTGGACCAGGTCAAATACAGGTGTGTAAGAAAGGAAGGGATACTGAAAGAAGATAAGATGTATTGGTAATGTTCATTGTTGAAAACATTTGAATATTGGACCTATAATTTATAGAAGTCTTTTTTTTTACTTAAGCTAATTCTGTTTCAGGTTTATTGAGCCTATATGTTCATGACAGTTTGTGTTTCTCTAGACCACTTAATACTGTGAATATTTTATATTTAATTATTACTGTAGTTAACTGCAAGAAGATAGACCTCTTACTAACTGTGATAGATCATTGTCATTGTGTTTCTTTGGACAGGTTGGAGTCGTCCAGTATGGTGAGAAAGTGGTTCATGAATTTAAACTCAGTGACTACAAATCAGTCGAGGAAGTGGTGAAGAGAGCACGCAGCATCAATCAGCGGGGGGGCGAGGAGACCAACACGGCTCTTGGCATCAACGTTGCACGGTACAGTATCTCCATTTGTACAAACGAGCAGCACTACTTCACTGCTCGTCCATCCTGTCATTTATTCTAATGAACATATCAAACATGTTCTCACAGCTCACAAGCTTTCAAACAAGGAGGTCGGCGTGGTGCCAAGAAGGTGATGATAGTGATAACGGACGGAGAGTCACATGACAGTCCAGATCTCCAGCAAGCCATAGAGGACAGTGAGAAGGATGGCATCACCCGTTATGCCATTGCTGTGAGTCTGCTAGACCTATTCTTCACCTGGGTTTTCACTTAGTTTTCTGATGGGTAATAAATCTCCTGTGCAGCATTAAAATGCCATAAACATTAATAAGGTGACCTCATGGAGCAAAAGCAAGTGCTTCAAGAGCTAAGTTGAGAATGGAGCCAGAGACCCTCAGAGAGCTCCACACATAAGCTCAGTGGAAGTGCAGTTAAAGGTGTAAATGATCTCCTCCAGACCACATGGTTCTTTGGTTCGTGCCACTGCTGGGACAGCTAATAGCACGCTTGTTTCCATCCAGCAGCTAAGCTGGGCAAGGGCTCTGAAGTCGTTTGGTTGAACACCAACTGAAACTGGTGACAGCACTGGCATAGGTGTAGAAAATCCAAATCCTCTGAAACCTTCCCAAAGAGAAGGTTTTAAAATGTGTCAGATAAATTGTTTCACACTCAAGTTCTTCATGCACACATTGTTTAATATTATCATCACAGGTTCTCGGCTACTACAACCGTAGAGGAATCAACCCTGAGGCCTTCCTCAATGAAATCAAGTACATTGCCAGCGACCCAGATGACAAGCACTTCTTTAATGTGACAGACGAGTCAGCACTGAAGGACATCGTGGATGCTCTTGGAGAACGCATCTTCAGTTTGGAAGGTTGTGCATGAAATTCATTTCACTTCAGCTGCTTAGAAATGTACTGCTACATTTGCATGAAAATCCTCCAACTCTATTTCGTATTGTAACTTTGACCGAAGGATGCTGTGGCTCCTTATAGAATGTAACCAAGGTAGGTAAACTTTAATAACCACAAACAGAGATTAGCTAATTAGTCTATTAGTCATTTTACATAAACCTTACCTGCAACCATTTTTATAATCAGTTAAGTTATTTATCAAAATGATACTCCCACCTCTTCTCTTTCTCTTTTTTAGCTTTGCAAATTGAATACATTTGGGGTATAAGCCATTTGAAAATGCCACCTTGGGCTCTGGGATATAGTGATGGACATTTCATAGGCTAAATTGATGATTCAGATTAAAAGATGAACTGATCACGAAATATTTTTTTTGTTGTAGCCCTACTACCGAGCCCTCTACAATTAGGGCCTGAAAATATCTCTTAAATCTCCTAAATGTGAAACGAGTTCAATGCCATTCTTCTCAGAATATGGCTGTGGTTGGAAGATTAAGTTTCTCTGCTGCAGTGATTCAAAACTCTCAAAGACTGACTTGTTTACACAGGAACCAGTAAGAATGGGACAGCGTTTGGCCTCCAGATGTCTCAGGCTGGATTTTCCGCACACAACGTCGAGGTGAGTCTGACTTCTGCTACCACGTCGCCTCATATCATCTGTCACCATGTATAACAACACACATTGTCTCAATTTCTGGCGCATCATAACTCCTCCCCAGAACCTGCCATTTATCACTCTCCAGCCCCCCCTGAGGTGCCTGCTGTGTGGCCCCAGAAGGTTTAGGTCATTCTGATTTAGGAGCCCCTGACAGGAGAGACGGGCCTTTTTCCACCTCAACCATGCAGTGATGGGAAATAAGACACTACTTGTTCCCCAGGGAAACGTATTAATGAGCAGCCGGGACATCGTTGAGACAGTTCTGCTTCAGCATGGGTTGTTTTTCCTTCTTCCTTCCTAGAGGTTTCTGATTGAATCTGAGAGCAGATAGTTGCAGGTGTCCTGGCGTTCAGGGTGATGCAGCTGGAGGAGGAAGATAAGGCACATCTCTTCTGTACCTGCTATTCATACCAATTAATTCATTTCCATTCCTCTCTCTCTGGCTCTGTTGAGACATTTGCTGATGCAACTGCTTTGATTTTCCAGTCCCCTTTCACAGTGTGATTTGTCAAGGGAGAAATAAATATATCCCTTTTTATGATGAAAATTAAATATAAAGCAGGATTTGTAGCTGGGTGGCAGGAATGTTTGGAAATTCAGTCCTCAAGGCCAGATTCCAGAGATGCTCGACAACACCAACCTGAGTGTTGAGAGTCGGGTAACTTATTGGAAAGAATGTCGGGGCTTTAAAGGAGAAAACGGTCCTTAAAGCCCAGATGGTTTTGTTGAATGTGATATGTGCCAACTCTGAAGGCTGCTTATGTCGTATACTATCCAGATGTGTCATACATCTGCATACACAGCAGTTTCTTTGTATGCTGTTTGTTTCTTTTACTGTAAACAATGCTGAAAAATAATCTCAAGGCTCTGCGTTTGTAAAATCAAGAAACTTTAGCTCATTACCAAAATTGACTCCTGTATATTTACCATAATGCAGAATACACATTAGTTGTTGGTTGAGCTGATTTAAAATGTATGTATCCTCCATGCACTTGCGTATGGTTATGTATAACCACAACTCAGGACTCCTCCAGTAAAATAAAGGGGTTGACGTACTAACCAAAGCGAGGCACTTGTCCATACATGCAACTGCTGCAGAAATAGGTCACTGCTTTATAAGGTTGAACTGTTTTGGGGTTTCATTCATTCGCCATGGAGACCATTTTGACCAAAACAGATAACCACATTGGCATAACGCTGCTGTCAGAGAGTGACGTAGTGCGAGCGTGGTGAGCACACAATTCCATCTTTCAGGAAGGAATGGCAGGCCTTCTGGCCAATGCTCAAACGCTGGAAAATGTGTTGTTGGCATATTGTGTAAGGCAAGAAAAAACTGAGCTCATTATGCAGAGGAACCCAATAATTATAGTGTCAGTGATACAAAGTATGGCAAACCATGGAAGGCAAAATCCCTCCTCTGTTCCTGCTCGTGTCTGCAACTAATTGCACTTGCTGGTTTGTTTGCTTTGTTGAAGGATGAGTTAAAAATACACACTGCTCAAGATACAGAAGTGGTTTGATCATAGACTTTAAGAGATTTTATTGCTGTCTTTGCGGTTTGTTATTGTGTGAAACTGTTCTCCTGTAGCTTTTTAGACTAACGAAGAAGTAGCTGTTAACGTGTCATGATTTCATTTCCACCAGTAGTTTTTGAGCTTTTCAGAGAGAAAAGGTCTTAAATACAATATGGATCAGCAGACTTTGTTTTTCTCTCTCACTGCTTTGCATAGACATGCTCCAGCAGTAGTAGGAGATACAGGGTGGGATCCCAGTGAGTTTCAGTGGGAGGTTTGTTGTAGCAATGGAATAGGTTAATCAGTATAGGAATAATGGGTCCTGGATAAGGAACTTGTATGATATGTGTTGTACATATGGGTTTGAGGGTCATTTTTTAAGATGGGAAAGATTAATATTTTTAGCTCAGTGGTGGAAAAAGGATTCACAATGCACAGCTGGGCAAATGAGGTTTGCGGTAAACCAAAACGGTGTACGTATTGATCAAAGAAAGAAAAGGTCCATTTGTGCCTTTGTTGTTTGTCTGGTTTGTAATGAAATGGGCCAGTACGCTGAAGAAAAAAGTGGAATTAGTCCAGTGTGTGATCTGCGAGAGGAAAATTAAAGAAAATTAGTATCATTTGAATTTTCACTACACTGAGTTTTGTGAGACAGTTTAGAGACACAAAGGATATTAAATTAGTTGATGGCGATAAATGAATCACGCCATCTGAAATGGTTGTCTAATTGGCGACTTATTACCTCCATCATGGAGGTTATACTTTCACCCGTGTCTGTTTGTCTGTTGGTTTGTTTGTTGGTTTGTTGGTTTGCCAGCAGGATTATGCAAAAAGTACAGAACTGATTTGCACCAAACTTAGTGGAGGGATTGGACATGGGAAAGGGAAGAACCCATCAAATTTTGGTGCCGATCAGGGCAAAGGGGAATGTTCTTTTTTGTTTGTTTGTTTTTTATCACTTTCCCAAACATTGCGAAATAGGGGAATTTTTTCACATTTTCATAAAGGAAAATGAAAAAATCTGACGTATTAATGGTGTTGAGATCTATGACTTTGTACAGTTCTGGATCTCACATACATGTGTAGGATTGTTTGGCCTTGGCAGAGGTATGCGCTCTACTGAGTGCCATTATAGTTTAGTGAATGTTTCCATGCATTCCAGGAATAAAACCTTGTATCAGTAAGGAGTGGATGATTACTATTGCTGTCACCTGGATTGATTTGTTAGCAGAACATTGTTATACTGTTAATATTGATGTGTATTTAAGGTGTGTTGTTGTACTGTAATTAGATTTTCTTCATATCCCTTTAAAACAATCCAAAAAATGTAGAGAGAACCTCCCTCAGAGTTTGTGTTACCAAGAAAACTCACCACAACAACACACAGACAGTGCTCCGAAATGGTGGGCAAAGAGTGTATCATCATCATCATATACAGAACTTACCATGCTGTGAGGATATGCAGTACAGGCAGTACAGCCATTCTGTTACCCTGCTGTGTGTATAATATATTTGTGCGCCTCGCCTACAGGATGGGATTCTGGTGGGTGCTGTTGGGGCTTATGATTGGAACGGAGCAGTGCTGAAGGAAACACGGCAGGGGAAGGTGGTCCCACCTAAGTCATCCTACACACAGGAGTTCCCCGAAGAGCTCAAGAACCATGGTGCCTATTTGGGTAAGTAACACCCTAAAAAAACTGTAGAGGACAGTGCTGTTATTTTATCAATGACGATTAAGCTTGGATACCCCCTGATCATTTGCTCCCACGCTCATCAGCCATTAGTTTCTTTGTACAGCCTCCTTTTTGGTGGAAGGATATATGGTTGCCCTGTTAGAAGACCTGTGGTTTAGCACCAATTGTCCAAGCTGCAGCCCATCTCTATAAAGTGTACCCATTGCTCCAGAGCTTCCCATCATATCCAGCCCCATCTCGCTCCACCACCACAGAGCTCTGCTTTTACCATCAGTGGTTTGTGTCTGAGCTTATCCACCACGCTGCCAATGGAAGCCATTCTAGACTCAATAGTAATATGAGGAGGATGCATAATTTTGGACACGCAGGGAGAAAGTTAAAGCTGGGAAAAAAAGGGGTTATGAAGATGAGAGATGAAGGTGGAAAAGTGTACGGGGCATAAGTGGAATTTTTAGTGGGAAACAGTGAAATAGAAGAAATAGAAGAAGAAATCTAAGAAACCTGAGAAACCAGACCAGCCACTTCTACGTAACTGAATGCAGCTTGCTGAGTTTTAACTCCTCAAATTACAACATTTTACAGATTTTCCTTGAGTCATGCAAATCACTGCTACAAAAATCCTAAAGGTCAGGCCCATCACTCTTGGCTCACTCAAACAGCGCAACAAAGTGCAGTGCCTGAGATTTTTGTTGACTTTTGACAATGTTGACCATTTGACTATCAAACAATCAGTCTACTTAATATACAGATCATTAGTAAATGGATTATAAAATAGATACTTATTCACATTACAAGTAATATCCTACATGGGTAACTTTGGCAAGAGTGGGTAAGATCAACTTCCCGAAATCTACTTCTTACCTCAGAGGGTTGTTGTCTGTAAGTAGAGGCAGAATTGATGTGTGTGTTTTACGTAACCAGGTTACACTGTGACGTCTGTGGTGTCAGCCAAAAATGGTCGACTACTCGTAGCAGGAGCTCCACGATTTAACCACACCGGCAAAGTCATCATCTTCACTCTGAAGAACTCGGGCAACCTCACCATCCTGCACTCCCTCAAAGGCCAGCAGGTACTGTAGTATCCAGCAGCACTTACCCTTCAACTTGATAAAAAAGTTCATCAGCTGTACGCTTTGGAAGAACGCCACAGTGCAACAAGGAATGTCGTAAAACATTGTTATAAATCTCTGTTTGCACTGCCACTGATGGAGAGCAGCTTACTTAGTTATGAGAGGCTTTAAAGGCCTTATTTGTGCCAAGACTGGCCATGTAGCAAAACCTACAAATAGCTCCTTCAAAGATCTTTGTGTAGCTCTTTATGTGATTACATAATTTTCATCATAGACTTTTGTAAACAAAAAATTAGAGAATGCCACTGGAGTCTGAGTTGATTTAAGCTCATTAATAGCGTGCACACAGTGTCAGGGGGAGGGGTCTGCCATGGGGACATCAAAGACTGTGGCCTTAAATATACTCAGTACATAACTTATTTACATTTACAAGCAACTCAACAACAACAATATGTAGCTAAGGCTCAATTAAGGCCCAGTCACATGGCATTTAAAAACACTATTTTCTCAAGGGGCTGAAGGAAATATGTGCCCTGTTTTTTCATATGTTCAATTATGGTGAATAGAATGATATAGTACACTTCTGAGATCAAAGGGAGGAGCTTTTGTGGGGGGGAGGGAGCTACTGTGAGTTATTAGCACTAGCTTGTTCTCAGGTGGTTAGCAAAGCTTAGCATTTAGCTCGCCAGGTACGGTAGTTTACCAGCTACTTGTGTGCTATAAAGTTCCTGGCTAAGCACTTTAGTTAGACTGTAGACAGCTGCAGTAAGTTTTAAGAAAATACAAAAGAACATCCTCAGGGGGCATCTCTTCATGACCTTACATAATGTGCATAAAAAACGAGGATCACAGCTGGCAGTGTAGGATGCTACGTCAGCCAGATTCAGGGATAGAGCTCCTCTTTCTTCCTCCGTCTGTTTTTGACATTTTGGTTCTTTGGAAAGCGTCAGAATTATTCCAATTCATGAGCTTAGAAAATTAAACAAGATGGCCGGAAAAATTAGTATTCTTCCGTGGAAAAGGCCAATAGCCAAAAGGATTTTCATTTTGAAATTTAAGCTCAATAAAATGACTGTGCTCCCCTACTGCAGTCCAAATGACATAAACATAACAAGCTGCACTGATGGTGCGAGTTGACATAAGGACAAATTCACTGTATGTGAAGGTGTTTAAACATCCATTACTGTTGTCATATGTATGTATATCCTATATAATTTTAATACTGTACATCAGATCATCTAGCAGGATTTAATCCCACTATGACATTAGTCACATGAAGTTTAAAAATGATCATCATTTCAAATGGGATGTGGCTCTGTGTGTTAATGACCACTACTCATAACTGGCAACGCTTCACAGGCTGCGAGTCTGAAGTGATCCTGCAGCAGCTTACATTGTACCTTGTCAGCAACAGCTCGTCCAGAATGGCAGATGTTTTTTTGAAGAGGACTTTCTCGATCAAACAGCTCCTGAGAAAAGAGCTTTTTATAGGCAGATGTTTCTAATCTGAAAACCAATAGATGATGTTCCATCCACTCCAGTGACTAATCCAGATTCTCTCCGTAAAGCTTTCACAGTCTGAGCATCTAAGCAAAGCATCAGGACTCTGACCACTTGTTGAGACACAACACAGACCACCATTTGCTTACAATATTTAACCTCAAAAGTCGCCCCACATCGTCAGCAAATCATTAAACCTAAACATGTGGTTCAACAAACAACAGGGAAAGTCCAGAATTTCAGAGATATATAGAACAAAAAGATATTTGTTGTGTGATTTAAATGAATGATATAAATGCACTTTTCAATGCAACAGCGTAATAACCTGAATGAATTGCTTTTAAATCATTAAAACTAATAAAAGTTGAAGATCTTAGTGTGACATGCATGTTTATGTCTTTCAGATTGGCTCCTACTACGGCAGTGAGATTGCACCTCTGGATATCGATGGGGACGGTATAACTGACAACCTTTTAGTGTCAGCGCCGATGTTCTTCAGTGCAGGCATGGAGAAGGGAAAGGTCTACATCTACAGAGTGACAGAGCTGGTAGGTATAAACTCAACAAACTTAAACCAATGCACAAAGGCTGGCCACATACAGGTACTAATCAACCTTGGAGCAAGCGACCCACTACACAGAACTGGGTCAACACCTGTTCAAACTCCAGACCTTCCCAGTAAATTCTAACACACCTCACCAGAAGTGTCCGGTAACACACACTGAACCAGACTGTTGCATTCCAGCTACTCATTTAACACACTGACATGCTGCAGCCAGACATTTGACACATGACCATGTCCAGAATAAATGTGCAGATCAAATGAGAAAACTTTGCCATGCCAGTGTGCAGACTTTACTAGATGTGTAGAGTGAAGTCAGCAGGAAAGTATTCTGCCCCTTTTAAACCCATTTCCAGCGAAGCGTTTGGAGGAGAGAACTTTTTTTTTTAATAGAAGGAAATTTCCTGGTATTCCAGGTCTGTCTTGCTCATTGGAATAATGAATGTCTTCAGTTGTTTTGAATCCATTGAACAGGCATAGAAGAGGTATTTAAATATCTGGTGTGGCCCAAACCACATCACAGGTGGCAGGCAGGCCAAGCTTAACAGTCAAAAACACAAACAGAGAGAAATCATTCTTTTAAAAAATGTCTGTCATCATCGGGACAGCAATACCACATGTTCAGGGCAATTAATAATCATGATGTGGCTGATTCAGGTGTGGTATTGCTGTTGGAAAACTGTTCAAGTTTGGACGCGCTGGTTCAGAAATATGTCCCTGTAGTCACAGTGAATATTAAACATCCACATCCATGTGAATCTGTGGACTTGACTTTTAAAAAGTTTTAAAAGTCAAGTAAAAGTTTCTTTGGCTGTTACCTGTCCTAGCAGCATGGTTTTAGGAATGCCAATGTTGGTCAGCATCTCATCAAAAATAGAAATATTTTTTATGTCTGTTGTGAGCCAGCACCTCGCTAAAATAGGTCTGGTCTCCATTTTCTCTTTTTATTTTTATTTTTTGGAAAAATCTCTGTAATCATTTGATGGATTGCTGTGACACTTTGTATATTTCGCATTTCAAAGCTGCTATAATCAATGGTTTTATGTCAACAACAGATCACAGGCCTGTAGTTTCCCTTAGCTCTGTGGTGCTTTATAGTGTCTTTAAGCTCATTGTTTGGGTTTTCCGTCCCACGACTTTATTGCTTTGGTTCACTCTCACCACTCATATGGTGTCATTTTTGGCCACAGCGAATCAGCTGCTTTCATTGAAAAAGCTCTAAAAACCCAGTGAACACCACCCCCCAGCACTAAACAACAGACAGACACAGTTAGCATCCAGCTGATGAACATCTGGAGTTGGTGGAGAACAAAACAGAGGTAAAAGAAGAGTGAATATCGGACTGTTGCTCTGTATCAGCTGAATGTGTACAGTATAGGCAACCGTTTTTCAGTATGCTTGTCATATCAACTTGCCTAATGACAATATGTTGTCCTCACATCTTGTTTCTGCTGCCCCCAAGTGCGCAAAAAAAATGAGTCATTGTTTACCGTTGTCATTGTGAGCATGTTATTATTCTGATGCTAGCATTTAAGTCAAAGCACCACTGAGCCTCCAGCTTCACAGAGCTGCTGGAGTAGCTGTAGACCCTTGCCTTGTTTATCTACCATAGATATTTTTCCTGTTTCTCATTCTCAGGAGAATGTCTTGCCTTATCAGAAATAAATGGATGGTAAAGCTGTGATGCAGTCAGAGTAATGATGAAAATGATTGTAAGTACAGGATAAGTACAGATAATCACCGAGAAGCTCATACTGAGCCTTTTCTGCCTTTTCAGCGAGTGCTCTGACCAAAATTTAAGGGATAATAACTACAAATTTAAAGCGAAATAAAGTTGCGTAAAGTCTGGCAGCTGGTCAAAAATGAAATTCCATTCACGGTCTAGCACATACAGAAGTTGCACTTTTCACTCACACATGAGCCACTGCAGACTAGTCATGACCCTTCATGGCCTCCACACGAACCATGTGTTTCAAATTTAAACAGAGCTGACTATATTTTTTCCCCATCTCTCTATCAGTCTCCCTCTTTGTCACACACGCACACATCAGGTAGCTGAGAAGTCAAAGCTACCCTCCTAAATCAACCCCCCTCCCATTTATTCAACTGAAAAAACAAGTGATCTCATGTTTCGTCTGCCGACCTTAAATTACATTAAGGACCGGGATGCCAAGTGGAGCAATGATATGCATGACTACTGATGGACGCTAGTATTTGGCTCCATTTTGTCAGACTGTTTTCCAGTCGGGTAGTTGCTTTCAAAGAAATGGATCTTTTCCATCTGATTTAACACTCGCTAAGAATAGAACTTCAAATAAATATACTAAAGCTATATGGCATCCTTTAGTTCTTTTATGACCTGGAGGTAAAATTCCTCACTTCTCTGTCGCCAGATGTTTAAGATATTTGAGTTCAAAAAGGCAGAATTAAAGGATTATGTGGAAAACACAGAAGCCGATCCAAACTTTATCTTCTGTTTGATTAGAGAAAAGATTATAAAAAGTTGCGTTTGTTGCTTTTTCCTGTATAAATTACATCATGAGATAACTGAAAAAACAAACCTAACAGGGTGGAGGACAGATATGACAACAGTCTCTTCCTTTGTCTAAATAATGAGATGTCTAAATAAAATTAATGGCAGATAATTTAACAAACAGATAAGTGCTTTGACCGGACAACTGAGCTGAACTAGGTATGATATAAAGTAGGACTGGCTTAGACTAACACACATTTATTTATACTATATGAACAACATGTGAATACTGTAAAGGCTTTGTATGTTGTCCAACCATGTGCATGTCATGTTTTGTTTGTAGCACTAACTTATGATTATATGAACTTCCCCCTAAAGCTAATGTATTTATCAACATAAAATACCAGAGTGTGTTGTCGCAAATTCTTTTGAACTTTCCCTTGAGGGACAGTTGTCTTGAGATATTCATGAAGTGAGATCCAAAGGAAAAACAAATACTTTCTGACGGTAGCAAGACGAGGATGATTTGTATGACATGTAAAGAATGTATCAAGTACATTTATGAGCACGCTTTAAGATATGCCTAAAAAGATAACAGATTATGTGTTCGTTATGTTTCCCTTCATCCCTCAGAATCGTTTCATCCTTGAAGGAGCGTTGGAAATCCACAATGGTGGCCAGAACGCCCGCTTCGGCTCATCGCTCGCTCCTGTCCCTGACCTAAACGGCGATGGCTTCAATGACTTGGTGGTGGGCGCCCCGCTGGAAGACGACCACAAAGGAGCCATTTATGTTTTCTTTAGTCAGCACAACAGAATAATACGCAAGTACAAACAGGTAGGACGTGTGCAAAAAAATACAGTTAAAATGTATTAGCATGTGTTTTCCTCCTGACTATAATCACACATGCAGTACAAGTTACTGCCAATCACCTTCCAAAGCATGGCATATGTTTTTCATTTGATTTACCACCTTCTAGGCAGCCACTGATTTATGATCATTTCAGTATGGTAAAAAAAAAAGAAAGGAAAAAACTACAACTTGTGTCACTCTATACTTGTGACAGCTCTTTACCCAGATGTGTGAAGCCTTACTTGCTTGAAAATGAAGGCTCAGGTCAGTCACAAGCAACCCGTCGGTGAGGGCAGACAGAACTAGTGAAGGGCAAGAACAGGGCTAAGGAGCACAAGAGAGGATCTAACAAAAGACTGTGTGAAAAGGTGCTGGTGTATATACTGAGTGACTGATGAAGGAATGATGGGCAGCTGCTGGACAGGTGGACAACGACAGGCTCTGCACTGACAGAAGAAGTTAGTTAGATTTAAACAGACACGAGTAGCTGCAATTAACATATTGAGCCAATGGCATGCTTCAGAGAATGGTTGGTAATAATCTACAATGTGTGATTTGTACTAAGTGAGCTAAAACATACAAAAACCACACACCACACAAACCCTAGAAAAGAGGAAAAAACATTTGTTCTGAATATTAACTTGAGATAATGTTGTACATAGAACTTCTAATCTCTTTTTGGCTCCGTGGCAATGGAAAGTGTAATTTCCCTACATTACCGCTTAGAGAATAGCCTTATAGTTTAAGAAGTACTGAAATACTTTTGGAGTGATGAAGTAATTTTTATTATCCTTGACTAAGTCATTTTGAATGTACAGTGTCTATTTACTATTATGGCTTTAAATGTGATTATTGTATTTCCCAAGAACTGCACAGTTTAATTGCACATGTGGCTGCTCTAACAATAAGACTGTAAACTGCGGTTGTTGTCAATATGGTGTTTTTTCCTCTTCCTGTTTCTCAGAGGATAGCAGCAGCAGATTTAGCCCCTGGCCTGCAGTACTTTGGCCGCAGTATCCATGGCACAATGGACATGAACGATGATGGTTTAGTGGACCTGGCAGTAGGGTCCCTTGGTGCAGCTGTTCTCCTTTGGTTAGTATTTCACCCAGCAAATAATACTGTTGTCAGTACAAGGTGGGCTCAACTCTATTAATAAATGTAACTGCCACCCTGCGCTTTTATTTTGTTTTATGTATGCCTTCAGGAAGAATCATATTTTCAGGAATAGTCTAGAGTCTCACAGGTTATGGGTTGGCTTCATCTGTAACACTTTCATGCCCTCACAGGTCACAGAGTGTCATCCGGATATATGCCACTGTTCGGTTTGAGCCCAGCAAGATCAACATCTTTGTGAAGGACTGTCAGAGAGGTGGCAAAGACGTGACCTGTATGTCAGCCATTGTATGTTTCAACATCACTGCCAGGACAGCCATTCTTCCCACACAGGAAATTGGTAAGCCAGCAAAAATAATCCACTGCTGCGCAAGCACACGAAAGTTTCCCAGTTCCTCCCCTTGTCTGATGTTTTTGGTGTCTTCCCTCGGTTAACAAAACCCTTTTTGACCGCTCAGTAAAGGTGAGCCTTTTATTTATTGTACAACCTATCAGATCTATAGAGAAAATATGTTTTTTCTTAAATGGAGACCTCTCAATCATGTTTAGTTTCTGAGACAAAAAGATGCTCGCACTACCAGCTGTATTGTCAAACCTCTGGAGACTGTCAAACCTTTAACAGACCATTTCCACCAATACGCTCGAGCAGAGAAATTTATATTTTGGATCTGTAGTTGCAGCATAGCTCAGCTGTTGTTTGGACTTTGATACACGACAGGATGAAACATGGCTGGTTTCAAGTGAGAAAAGGCATTCGACCATATGAATATATATCCTTCATGTTCCGGGTCCAGCAGACTTTTCACCATGTGGCTTCCCGTAAAAGCTGATGGTGATGGCTCCTTCCATTGAGAGTGGCGCCAAGGCAGAATGTGCCTTCACTAGCAGTAAGAGATTCTGATCTCCCTGCTGTTTCTCTGCCAAAGCTAATGCTGCTGCGTCCAACGCTGGTATATCTGAACCACGCTGGTGGTGTCAGATGTTGGAATGCATCTACAAGTTTATATCTTTTGTTTTATTCCAGAGGTGTTTCTGACTGTTTGGTGGCAGTGACAGCAGATAGGTAGCCCACCTGCAAATAAATGCAAGGTTACTCTGCTCACAATTTGTTTTAAGAGATATCGTGGCAGGGTCCAGTTTCACACAGTGTTTCGGGGGGGGAGGAAGCAGAAGTGCGGGGGAGCGTGTTCTGAGTTAACCTCCTGACCCTCCGACATCTTTATCAAATCTATGGGATGTGTCAAAACAGAGTAGAGGAAGAACAGAGGGAGTTATCTTGTCTCCCATGGTTGCATACACGTTTGTAAACACGTTTATTTAATTTTCTCTCGTTGTCGTGTCTGGCTGGTAATGCATGGCAGATGTGCTGGTGTTTTCAAGTTCGCAGTGGTCTGTTGCATAAAATGGAACTTTTCTCATTCAAGTAAATCTTATTTATGCAGATATCTTTATACAATATTTGAGAGTGGTGTCTGTAAACAAATAGACTCAACGAGCTACTTTTCAGATGTTCTCAAGTGGTGCTGTGCAGCCCCATAACTCTTCAAATGGGAAAAATTCAAGTGAGAACTTGAACACAGGAAAAAGTCATTTGTAATTCTGAGTTTCTCTCATCAAGAGAGGAAAAAAAATTTATATTAGTTGATAATGATCCTTGTGATGTGGTGAAAAGTGGATAAAAGCTTCCAGTTCAGTTTCCATTATCTGCCCAGATCTTTCTCCAGCTCTCTAATTCTCTACTTGACCCCCAACACAAGACATGCACAAGTTCAGCCTTAGTGGATTTTTTCTCATGCCATGAAAACAAGATGCAATAAATGGAAAGCCTTTAAAACAATGTGGCTTGGAAGTGACTCAGTACTGAAGCCAGAGGGTTTGGATTCTTGTATATGTTGGTCACACATTTATTATATGTTCAGAGTCAAGTTAATATTATTGCTCTGCACTCTTACAGTGATGTCATTTACCATAGCCTGGTGCTGCCGTCTGTCAATTAGTCTGCACTAACCTAAGTAAGAACAGAAGCTATAGCTGTATGTTAGAAACATTTTAGCACAAACACTGCTGAATAGGATCTTTCACAGTTTCTCATAGCTGTATAATGTATTAACTCTTCCTGTGACCTACTAGGGATCAAGTATAACGTCTCCATTGCGGAGAGACGTTTCAATCCCCGTGCCATACTGGACAACCCGAACAAGCTGCAGCCTCAAAATCTGACCCTCCTTCCTGGAGAAGAGACCTGCGAACACATCTACTTCCACGTCATGGTGAGTCCCGTGTTGCAAGAGTCACATACAAAAGTGCAGCCACTGTTTCCGAAGACACTGGTAACTTGCAAGGAGAGAATTAGCTTGAAATTGTTATTTGTTCTTTTAATTGTGGGCTTGTTTGTTAATATTTACTTGTTAATTAGTTACTAATAGTAATGTTTTACTTCATCACTGAATAGGTGAGATGGCTGAAAGCTATACGTTTGTTGCATCTAGGATTCTGTGGAAACTTTTAATACAATGTGAAGGTTAAAATGCTTCATCAGTCCTTTGTTAAATATAAGAGTCCAATTTTAACATGTGAATTTCAGCAAAAATACTTCAGCTGCCTCAGTCTATTCATTTGGTCTCAGACATTGGTCAAAACCAACACACAGTGTATGTTAAAATGAGATTATAATAATATCTTTCGAGCATCTTGTATATTTGTGTAAACCATAAAAAGCTAGCGCCATAGATAAAGTGCCATGATAGAGTAAAACCACAGGCTAATCTTTGAACTTAATGTTTTATATTAGGAGACCACAGACTATGCAAGGCCCATAGTGTTTGCTGTACAAGTGGGACTACAGGATCCAGACCAAGGACCAGTGCTAGATGAAAGCTGGCCTACTGTTGTGAGGACTGAGGTGAGAGACCATCTGACATCTTCTGGAAAGGAGAGGATTAGTAGTTTCTTTGACTCACAAAAGCTCGTCTCTTTGGCTAGCTGCCCTTCTGGAACGGTTGTGATGAGGACGACCGCTGCATACCGGACCTTGCACTGCAGAGTATGACCGACCTGATGACTCGAAAGTAGGTACACACATATTCATTGCAACACATAGTACACTCACGGGAATTCGCAGACATACCATATTTACACAAATAGACTCAATCAATTTTTACTCATGACTCGACTCTGCTTCCTCTTCCTCCCTCCCTGCCTCCCAGTCAGTTCTGTGCACAGCACGTACAGTCTCGTGGTGCTTTCTGCCGCCACATTAGCGAGCAGGGGTTGGAGGGATCTCTGAGGGTGTTGGAGGGGAACAGGAGGAGGATGGTGGTGGACGTCCGACTGGAGAACAAAGGAGAGAATGCCTACCACACGCGCCTTAACATCACCTACACGCACAATCTACGCTTCTCCAGCCTCATAGTCAAGGTACCTGATCATCACCATAAACTAGTCATGTGCTTTTTCTCAAAACTGTGAAACTATGTTAAATGTGTAAAACTATATTCTGAGATGCCTTTAGGTTTAACCAGCAAATGAAATGAGACGCAGGCTGCATTTCAGATACCAGTACTGTAACAAACATCTAAACTGTTGTTGTTTTTGATGCAGGACAACTCTGACATCAAGATTGAGTGTTACAATGAGGACAAACTGAGGAATGAGAAGATCTGCAATGTTAGTGCTCCGTTCATGAGAGCCAAGTCTCAGGTGAGATAACCGCACTCTCAATCACTCTGAGAATGATATACTTCATTATATATTATACATTACTTCATTTATTTAAAAAAGTAACCATAGGTAGGAAATAACTTGATTACATTAGTAAGTTTTGCTGCTTTCTTTATGTGAACATAATATTCATTCATTCATTTTCCTCCATTATATCTGACATTTTGGTTTATGTCCAAAAATGCCATATGTTTTAGGTGAGAATCATCATTTCTTTATTCAAAGTGAAGAGAGATGTAAAAGTTGATCTTTCCAACCATGAGGAATTCATTCATATTTGAGTTTTCATACTGATTCCCAGATAGGATGAAACTAAATAAAAAATCTGGGAAATGCCTGTAGCCCTGTTACAGCTGCATTGTGCCGCTACCCAGGGGCTGAAAAAACATCGACGTGGACTGTATTAGACCACAGGGGCCCAGAACACATGCTCCAGGCTTTAGATGAACATGGCAGACCACAGTGGTTAATGCAAGAACCACAAGGCAAGCAGAAGAGCCCAGTTTAGTTCTGGTTTGTGAGATCCCTTCTTTCTATAGCCTGAAATCAAAGTCTACAGTGTCCACGCTGAAACACGTCCTTCTGTATGTAAACGTCTACAGGTAACGTTTGTGAGTATAAGCAACTGTAATAATATAATTAGTCTTATTACGTGAGTGTAAAAATCCTTTAGTGGCACATTAACGATTAAGATCAACGTCCTCATCTTAATTTATAGTGTATACGTTTTACCTGTGACTTAACATTATGTACAGTTCTATGCCCTCACACACCACTCCCACACCCGCCACATCTTAAACCTGAAGACCTTAAAGTTCAAGTCATTATACTATTTAGTTCATGAGAGATTTTATTTGCAAACATTATTTATACATTTTTGGTAATTTTTTTATTTTAAGGGTCCTGTATTTTCCAGCTAATATCCTTGAAACTTTCCTCTCAATTTCCTAAGAAATTCAATTAAGAATTTTTATTAGAAAATACGACACGTAAAGTAAAGCGTTTTCAACATTTTACATTTCCAAAACACAAACATAGAAACCCATCTAACATCACGCTGGACTGGGTGATGGCGCCAAAAAACTGCAAAAATATTAGTGAGAGAAAAATTTGTTATAATGATTAAGTAAATGAAAGATTAAATATGCAGATAGATTTAATTAATTAACGGTCACCAGGCTGTGTAAAATGTTTTTAGAGTTTCTTATTTTCTTCAACTTGATCCAGTATCCTACTTTAGGGGTTGTAACACGCCGCTATTTCAGAATAATAAGGCGCCTAACAGGCAAAGAAGTAGAAGCTGAGACGTTTTGCTGTGTGCAGAGAGAGTAAACGAGAGATAAAACACTGGTTTTTCACAGATTTTTCATGTAATAAAGGTTATGGTTCACAGCTTTCAACTATATCCCACATGAAGCTCAGAGTCACAACTTTGGTTACGTGATATATTTGACCAAAAACTATTTATGATCACTTGTTATAATGTGCCCAAAGTTACCTAGTCCATGTCGCTGATGATGACAACTTTGAGTTCATACATACAACGTGTTCCCAAGGTCAAGAATCACCCTTCACGCTGTAGATCTCTGATCTGTTTGACATTTTGTAAGAGAGAGGACACACTGTTACTGGCAGGAAACATATTGATGCAACTGAAAACCCACAGTGTGGAGTGTGGAGAGTCCCTGGGACACAAGCCCTAACATATGTGAGTCCTGTTGCCATCACTCACACAGTTGTCTGCAAGTGACTCTGCATATTTTGAAAGCATTTTCTTAAAGGTCAAAGTAGCTGTCTCTTATTTGGACATAAAGATCAGTCAAGCAATACCCTCCTCCTCAGTTCACTATAAAAATTAAATGAGAATCTCATTTGGTCGTTATTACATTGTGAGCAAAAGAAGAAACTTCCTCCTGAAGAGCTTCTTCTCTCCGCTTTAGCCTGGTGCACCAGGTGAGACCGAGTGAAAAACACTGAGATGTATTTTTTCTCTCATCTGTTACTGATTCTCACGTTCAATTCTGCTGTTTCCAAGCCTTTCCACAGGCTTGTAATGTCAACCATATTTATGAGAGACTGCGCTTTCCAGTGTACTTTAAAGCAAGGCATCAAATTTTATTTCAGAGAGGGTGATGTTTGAATTAACTGTGGTTGGGGATGACACTGATTGCACATTACACCGTGAAATTAAAAGCTTTTAAAGAGCGAGCAGATTACACATAAGCAGTCTGATGTCTGAACAATAGTCTTATACTGATAGAAAGTCTGCTGACAAAAACTGGAGGAATGAAGTAATGAAGGTGATTGAAAGAGTTCATGAGATGTCCTGACCACGTCATTATCACAAACAATAGTCATCTCCTTAGCAACGAAAAGATCACCGCATGTCTCTGTAACACTCCCCAACAACGTGAACCAAGAGGACTCGGGTCACCCTGTAAAACTCAGAGTGATTCATACCCACTTATTCAGCCTGAACAGCATCCAGAGCCACAAGGCTGATCCGCTCTGGTTTAGAAAGTTTTAAAAATGTGGCACAGAGTTAAACAAGGCTGATTGTGCATCTGTGCCACTGCCAAACCAGCCCTGACCACTGTTTAGCTGAAAGAAAGGAGGAACCTGAGGGCAAGCTTTTTTAGAATCGCCAGTTGTCACTGTTGTTTTGACTTTTCCGGTTTCTTTTGACCTGTGTAAAACTAGCATGTACTGTAAACTTTACTACTGCTGCAGCAAAGGGAGGTTTTTTTTCTCGTTGGTGTACACAGAGACGTGGTACACTAGTTATTGCAATTAAGTGTTTGATGATTGACAGTGGATGTGGCTCAGGGATGTGGGCAGACTTCATCGACCCCGAGGAGGAAGAGGAGCTTCATGCTCTGTCTCAGTTTCCATGTTCTGTTATGCTGCCGCACAAAAATCCTCCTGCCACAGACAATCATGTCTTCCAAACCCATACCACTTACATGCATGTGTGTGTCTCTGCATTCCTATGTGTGTGTGTGTGTGTGTGTGTGCGCGCGTGTGTGTGTGTGTTTTCATCTAACTTTCTTCTAAATGAGCATCACATAAATTCATCCAATTATCCTGAAAACAGGACGAACAAGAAGATGAAGCTTTCTTACAGGGGTCATTCCCCACAAATAGGATAAGATCAAAAGAAAACAGATCATCATCTTCGTATGTACAGTGTGTTGTATATCTGTGGTCTGTCCAGGATTAGTCAGACTATATGGAGGGGGAACGCTACAGTAAACATTGTTATGCATTCCTCTCTGGTCAGAGGGAATCTGTCAGGATTTCATTACGGCATAGAAGACTGTAAACAATGCTCAGCTTGGCTCTGCTCAGTCGACTCTCTGCTACCAATCTCCTCTCTCCTCCTCTCTCCACACTTAAGGGTCTTCCTCTGTTTGTTTTCGTTTAGGATTCCTCAATTGTTTCTCATTTTCTCACACGCCTGTTGTCTCTTCTGTTTGTGTCTGCCTCCTTTCTTCTCTTTTAGACCTCTGTTTGTATTTCGCCGTGAATGTGACAATGGTAGGTGTGTGTGCGTGCGTGTGTGTGTGTAGTCATGTTGATTTGTATTTATGGCATTGTCCCCAACTAAGGGGAAATTCCCTGGCTCTTTTTAAGCAGCACCAACTGTGCAGCCGGCTGCCTGGGGTCAGAGCCTGGGACTTAGAGCAGGTTATTGCAGGCTTTACTCCTTAATCCATAATGCAGGGCCTTTACTGTTTGGCAGGGTATATACTGTACAGTAGCATGCAGAGTCAAAAGAACCTTTGACTTGTGCTTTTAGTGTTTTTGAGTGATTGAAACTTTACTCTCCTCTGTGTAGGTAACATTTCGTCTGGAGTTCGAGTTCAGTCGGACTGTCTTCCTAGACCACATCAGGGTTATCCTGGAGGCCGGCAGGTGTGAACATAAATTTAAACCCTTCAATGTATTTTTAAAATGTTTGACTCCTAAATACATTTTCTCTTTGCATGGAGTGATGTCATAACAACCAAGCATGTACACACCAAGTGGCAACCTTGAGATAAGCTAAAAAAGCTGAAACCCTACTGAGTTACAAGGATATATATTTCATCTGGTGTGTAACAACATTGTTTGGATATTTTTGTCTCCTTCTCTCAACAGTGATGGCGAGGAAATGAGCACAGCTGATAATTTCAATGATATCTATTACTCACTGAAATACGAGGCAGACATTCTCTTCACTAGGTTTGTCATTTTCTGTGTTGCCCAAGCTTTTTAGCTTCCAAGCAGGAAGTAACAAAGTGATTAAATGAGATCTGGAAAATACTGAATAAATGTGGGAGATGCTGTAGCTGGAATGGGGTCTTAGTTATCATGTATAATTACACGACATGCTTTAAAGCCCAGATAAATGAAAGATAATTGCTCCTCACACATTACTGTTTCATGTTTAATCTTTACTTCTAAAGGGATTCAAATCCAACTCGGTATGAGATCAAATCAGAGCTGTCACTGGAGGAGCCCGGAGTTATCGGTCCTCCTGTCAACTTCACTTTCCAGGTGAGAGTCAAGAAGAGCATCATCACCATGACTTTAATTTACGGCACAGGAAAACGCTGCTTGGAAATAATTTACACAATTTATTCTTTTGTTTTCTCTCAGATCCAGAACCTTGGCTACTTTCCGGTAAAGGATCTACAGCTGAACATTGAGATCCCAGAAATGACAAAAAATGGGAACCAGCTCCTGCAGATATCTGACTTCCATATTGACCAGGTGAGTGTGGAGCCTCAGAGCGAGTCTCAGTGATTGAAAGGGAGAAAATGTAACTTTTGAAAGAATAATAACACCTTCTTCTTCTTGATGGTTGAATTTAAAGAATAAAACAATCTTTAACTGAGATTCTTTCCCACCTGTCTAAAGTCAAGAATGAACTATCAAGCTTGTTGACCGTTAGCTAAGCCCCACCCCTCTTAGTTACTGTCGTCATGCCTGTCAAGCTGTCTGTCCGCATGCGGCACATAATGCGCACAAAGATAGACAGAAGCAGGCCAATCCCAGCTGACAGTGGTCAGTCCGTCACAGGGCTGACACACAGAGACAGACCATCCATGCTCACATTCACATGATAACATGCAAAAGGCTAAATCTGCATCCCTGGAACAAAAGGTTATGTCCCATGCAGAAAACATGGCAATAAAGAATCTGCATTGTTCTTATACTGCAGCATAGAGCTAGCTCTAGTTTTATAAGTATGATAATGAGAGAAGAGTAAGATCAGAGTGTCACTTCATTCTGACTCTGTTTGGCTGCTTGGTTTACATACCAGGGCAAGCAAGGTAGAGGTTACATTTATAATATTTTTTGTATTTTCAAACAACTCCCAACAATCTCCCCCAAATCCAACACAGCTGCTAATGTTAGTCTGCACACAGTGGTGAAATGGTTCACAGCGGATGTACTATTGTGACTGGACTGAGGCTTTTTTTTTATTGCTACCTGTAACCCCCAGTATAGGAGTAGTACCATGAAATGCTCCTTGACCATAACATTAAGTTACAGCTGTCGCTACTAAGACGTGCTGATGTTTGCAGCTTATGTAGGAGCAGACACCACGCTGGCTGTTTAATCCATTCATTACATTTTTTCTCAAGTGTTGATTTTGGAGAGGGTATTAAAAAAAACATCCTCCTAACTTTTTATAAACAGAGTATCACTTTCACTGTTAAGGTTTGCTGAGCTTGGACAGTTGCAGCTCAGGGCAGGGGTTTAGTCAGAGTTTCCTCTCTACTTTAACTTATGTTTTAGCATCTGCCATTGTCTAGAAATTGTCTCTTGCTGACAGTTGTTCAGCAAAAGTCACATCAGCTTGTTATACATGAATAATGTAATGTTAGTCTTATTTAAAGAGTTACTACAAAAATGGTTCGAAATCAGTACAACTACTTCTTTAGTTTCCCTCTGTGGTCTTTATGCTAAGCTACGCTAACCACATCAGCTCCATGGCACATTGGTATTGAGCTTCCCATATTTCCAAAGATGTTAAACTATTCTTTAAATTGCAAAGTGATATTAATTCTTGGTTGTAATGTAAGGCAAATATAACTCAGCCTATCAGAATATTAGTTTACTCTTTTTCTGCAGATGTGAGATTGTAACGTAGTAACTGGTATTTTCACTCTTATGTCACACCTCAGAGAGATGGCACTCACTGTTTACCGCCTCAGCATGTGGCACAGAGCAGAGCATCACCTGAGGACCTTTCACGCGTCTCCCGCTTGGTAAAGTGCAAACCAACCAACTTCATTCCCAAATTAGAGTTTTATTTCTGACTTTATCTTTGGCAACTTTTTTCCTGAAGGCTGGTGTCTGACTTCTTCACACAGAATCAATCCAACACCTTAACTCTGCCGATCCAGTGCGCTGTCAATGTGGCCTCCCACAGAGAAATTGCAGTTAGGATCACAGGAGCACTACGAATAGATACCTTACACGCAGTGAGTGTGAAACTGAATAACATGTTTGGTGATTGGCCCAGGTTTATAACAGTATAACCATGCATGCAATTTCTCTATTCATCTTAGTGTTATTTTGCTTTGACTGTAGCGATGACAGCTTTGCAGTCTTTCAGCTGTGTTATATGTTTGTGAAAACTGGCGGTCTGTTTTGATTTCCTCTCCAGCTGAAGTTTAAAATCCTGGAACTGGTAACCAGTGCATCAGTGGAGCTCCCCTCCTCCAGCCCCATGTTTTTACATGAAGCGAGGCCTGTCAGACATGTGAGTCAACAACAGCTAATGTTATAAACTGCCTCTGCCCTGGGTTTGACCTGACTCCGAACTGATTGATAAAAGCATCATAATTTAATTATATTTGTCATCTCTCTGATTTGTATCCTATCCATGTATGAACACAGTGTTTTTATGTGCTGAGGAAGATCAGTCCCTTAAAATGTATTTGAATTGACTGAAAGTATTAAAATGCTTTAATAGTACAATTGATCTAACAATAAAAAGGAACATATTTTGCTGCAGAAATCACTTTCTAAAAAAAATACCAGTGGGTTCTGCTACAGCTGATCGTGGCATTGCAGAACTGAGGCAGTGCAGAATCAGACAGTAAAGGTTGGTATTGGAGCACACGTGCTGTGTGGTGCTCAGGGACCGAAAGGACCAGCGGCACAACATGTAAAAGTCTCGACATGTACACTAATCTTTGCTGCCATCTATTGGCCACTACCAGCACTCATCCTGTATCTCTACTATGCTTTCATGAACAAATTCCATAAATACTGATTTCCTTTCGCTGACATGTGTTATTAGTGTAAAAAGGAGAATGGATTTCCTGGTAAATCTGATTCTGATCTGTGCTGCAATTGATTTATCTTTCTTTAGATACAAATATATATTATATATGTATGTATGTGTGTGTGTGTGTGTGTGTGTATGTTAAGAAAGACAAATTGCATAAAACAGTCATTGTTTTATTGTACATATGTCTATTACAGTTGCAGTTAATCATTTAAATATTCCATGTTGGGCCTGTGACGTCCACTTGCTGAGTATAACCACAATAACAAATGTCTGGATTTATAATCCACTATAATCATCATCACCTCAGGGGGAGTGCATTATTACTGGTCTGCGAATGTCACAGCTGTGCCATCTTTTGTAGTCATTACAGTCTCATTTACGCTAACATACTTGATTTATAATTATATATACAGTGGGGTCTGAGACCACTTTCCCATTGAAGTGAATTACTGCATTATTGTGTGTACATTAAAGTTTCATTTTTCTACAAGATCACCAAATAATAATATAGCTGACACAGAGTTCAGTTTGTGTCTGAAACACAAATGAGATGTTGTCACATTATCTCACCTTGTCTACAGATATTATTGGAGATCAGGAAGGAGGGAGATTACAGGATCCCTACCTGGATTATCATTGGCAGCACGCTGGGAGGACTCCTATTGTTAGCTCTGCTCAGTCTGGCTCTATGGAAGGTAAGTCACCCTATCATGATCACCCTGATCACTGAGTCTGCAAAATATCAGCTATGCTTCAGAACTGCTGTTTATCCACAGTCAATAGCAGCATATTGTTCTATTATGAATCTAATATTGGTCTATTACAATGTTAGAAGTTATCTTATGTCCTCATATATCCCACGTAACCCTGTGGGGTGTTTTCAGTCACTGTTTATAATGTCATGTGATATCTCTGCAGCACACATATTCATATAACCCGTGTTGTGCTGAAAAAATTAAATCAATTACTCAAATAAACTTTACAGTACTTTTCTATAGTAAAAGATCCAAGTCAGCAGTAACAGACTTCAGTGTTGGCTTAGACTGCCACCCGCTGGCAGAGAAAGTCTGAAAACAGTTTAAAAGTCTGAAAAAGAAACACTGTTATCTGACTTTGATCATATGCTTAATAACTACTTGCCAGACATATTTTAAATATATCTCTGATTTACAGTGTACCTACCTATGAACTTGAATTAAAGCTTCTGCCTAATGAGTGTAATGTAACAAAAAAGTTACAGAGCAGTATTAAATTTCCTGATAAATCTCTGACACTTCCTCTAGTGCCACCACAAGGTTATGTTTGGTTTTTTGTGTTTTCAACAATTATTAGATCGATTGCCATGAAACTTAGGACTGACTGCAGCCAGGTTACAAATATTTTCATTGTCAATTAATCAGCCAGCTATTTTCTTGATTAATCAATCAATCAATTTATGATTCAGTGACATCTTCAAATGTCCAACCAACAGTCAGAAACCAAAAGACATTAAGTTAATTATTATAGAAAACCAGAAAAACCACTAAATATAGAGGCTTATTAAATTAGAAAATGTTAGCATGCTAACACGCTAAAGTAAGGCGGGAACGTAGTAAACATTGTACCTGGCAAACAACTGTATGTTAGCATTGTAATTGTGAGCAGAAGCATGTTAGCAGTTGTGGCTTTGGGCTGCGGGGGCGGGGAGAGGTGTGTGGTAGGCGATCCGACGAAGGCTCGGATAGGAGGTCGGGTGGACCGGTGTGTGTTACGGAGAGAAACGGTCATGTTTGGCAAGGGAAGACGGGAGTAGCGTCATCGCATTGTGACAGCTGAAGAAATGCAAGCATGTTACTTCTTGTCTAACTTCTCTCTGTTTGACTGCTTCCTCGCTCAGCTCGGCTTCTTCCGGAGGCAGAAGCGAAGAGACGAGGACGAGCGGGAGGCCAACGGGAAAGTGGCCGGAAGAACGGTAACGCAGCTGAGGCGCCCCAGCAGAGCACCGTTGTTCGCGACAGGGGACCGACGACGTCAGGGACGCAACCCACCTCCCCCTGCTCCCCAGCACAACAGTGGCAGCGCGATAGACAGCTCCGCATGGATCGGCTGAAGCAAGGCTTTATCAGTGCAGTGGATCTGTCCCACGCAGACGACGCGCCTGACCCCTGAAGAGTCAGCACTGTCACACTCACTTAGCATTCCTGCACTGTTACGACATCAGGGCGCTTCTTGGTCTTCTGTGTATTCACTGCCTCTGTGTTGTCCCTTCAGAGGATCTTGGAGCTCTCGGTTTTCTTGGCTTTGGCGTGGAGCGTCTGGGTGGCTTGTTCTGGCCGGTTTGAAAAGGAGAGAGCAAGAGCGACGTGTGTGTGCGATGATGGTTCCGAGAGAATTGTAGGAGGCCACGAGTTGTGCCCGTTGAGGCAAATGTCACGCCAGTTCAATCTTTTGTCGTCGTTTCGCTATGTGATTGTGGTATTAACTGCTGGGTTTGGTAAATTTTGGAAAAGACATGGAAAAACGCTGCAAGGTGACTTGCCACCAAACGCTACCGCAAATGTAAAGTTACGAGTACGTGGTATAGTTGAAATTCGATATCCTCTTCG